GCGCTCGGGCCCCCCCGCAACCAAGTTCATCCAGACCCATGAATTCCACCACCTCCGCCTGCCTTTCACCTGGCTGACCTCACGTCAGCCTGTGCAAGCTGTTTCTGCTCTCCACCTTTGTTTCCTGAATATATATACCCGTATATTGATACTAGATGATAATACGTTACATAGCACATAATAATGTGCTATTGTGTGACAGATAGCATAACATATACATGTATATTTATAGTGCATTAACATAATACAGGACATAGTATATTATATTGTATGATAGAGAATATATATGTGTTTATACTATCTTAATATAATGTATTACATACTACATATTATTGTATAATAGGTGATATATACATATATTTATAATATCTTAGTATAATGTATTAAGTATAATGTAATAAATAATATAACATAGACATATATATGTTAATCTGTTACATAGTATATATTATTGTATAATAGATAATATAATATATTATCTATTATATATTTTATATATTTGATTTTGTTGCCAGTCCTGAGACTTGAACTCAGGGCCTGGGCGCTGTCCCTGAGCTTCTTCTGCTCAAGGCTAGCGCTCTACCACTTGAGCCACTGTGGCTTCTTCTGTGTATGTGGTGCTGAGGAATCGAACCCAGGGCTTCATGTATGCCAGGCAAGCACTCTACCACTGAGCCATGTCCCCAGCCCATAGACATATATATATTTGTTTTTTTTTAAGTAGCAAATCTGAATTTCCAACTCTTCCCACAGAGCCAGAGTAGCAGCATGATGCCAGCACAGTACTTTTGGCCTACCAAATGAACTTCATTTCAAAGATCAGATTCATTCCTTCTGCCCCCCCACAGCCCACCCCCTCCCCACCACCAGACTTGGTCCTCCTGTTTCTCCCAGGAGGGCTTAATGGTTTAAACCAAAAGCACTGGGGGAACATTGGGTTCCTCCTACTTTTCTCTCTGCTTTTGTATAGGTGTGTTTTCCTTAAGGACAACAACAACGGCAAAAACTACCCCCCACTCCTGCCTGATACCCAAGCAGCTCATATATCTCTTTACGGTAAGTTTATTCCCATGCTTGACTTACAAGGAGAGAGAGCAGCAAAGGAACTCCATTCCCGGGGGCATGTCCCCTGTACTGCCCTGGGCCCGGCCACTGTGTGGGGATTACTGGGGAACGGGGCCCTATGACCTGTGATTCCTAAGCTTTTCCTGAGAGCTTGTTATTTAAAAACACGCAAAACACACAGGGGTCATGGGGGAGTACAATTTTGTCTGTAAGACTGGCAAGCCTTCCTTCCTACACATTCCTTAACTCACCTGTAACTTGGACTCTCCATCTGTAAAGTGGGGGTAATGGCAGTTTCCCCATCACACAGTCAGGGAGGAGGGGGGGAGACTTAGTTATTGTGTGTCACGTGCTCAGCCCTCTTCCCAGCACATATTTAACCCTCAAGAAATGTTGGCTTGGACTGGGAAGGTGGCTTAGTGGTAGAGTACTTGCCTAGCATGCATGAAGCCCTGGGTTCAATTCCTTGGTACCACCACGTAAACAAAAAAGAAAGAAAGAAAATTGATTTTTAAAAAAAAAAGGGAAGCCAGGCACCAGTGATTCACGCCTGTAAATAAAAATAAAATAAAAAATGTTGGCTCTTATTGAGTTCTTGCTAGGTCAGTGCACTTTGTCTTGAAATTCTGGAGATTTATGTCTCATTGATGAGGCTCTAAGCCCCCCAAACATGAGTGAGGATGGTCTCATAACCCCAGGCTTCTGCCTTCTCTGAACATCCATCCCAGCATTTTGGAAAGCCATTTTTCTCTGTTTTCCCCTCTGGGAAACAGCAAGTTGGGGGTGGGGGGGGGGAGGCGGGTAATGGGCTGGAGGATGAGGAAGCCATTGTGTTTGTGAAGGACCTAATTCTTATGAGGGCTTCAATAGTAAATGCATCATATATGAGTGTGGTTCGGCATAACTTTTAATTCCCAAAGGATGCCAGACACTGCAATGAGCATAGAAACAGAGGGAAAACAGGAACTCTCATTCACACCCCCCATCCCGCCCTTCCCATTTGGAATTGCACACCTACCCCTCTAGACTTGCCAGGCATCAGCACCATGCAGATGTACGCACGGAGACCTGTAATAGCTTTGTTTCATCTTCGTCTGTAGATATGAATGGAGACTGCCTCACACGTTGTTTTGCCGAGGGCTTTGTTCCCTTACGAATGCGTTTCAGAGACTGTTCTATGCCAGCACACAGAGATCCCAGCCAGGCACACAATGGATACCCCTTGATCACACACTCCGCCTTGTGAGCACTGAAGTTTCTTCCTCCCAATTTTTCCAAGAAGCTCTCCCCTTGGTGAACTACCACCAACATACATCTCGGTCCATACTCAGACGACGCGTCTCAGCAGTAGAATTACGAGGCCAGAAGTTGGCCATTTAGAAAGTGTTCATGGTGCAGTGTTAATTATTTCATAGAGAAAGCTAATTACCAGATGGTGATGACCCCTCTTGGACTTCGTATGTCCATGACTTACTGTCAGATCTACAGAGGCCCAACGGTGTGGAAGGTTCAAGCCCTCGGCAGGGAAGTGTGATCTGGCCTTGGACCATCGGCTGCTGAGATGCTCACCCTTCCATCCTGGGCGTGATCTTGAGCACCTGCAGCTTCAAATTCAAGGAAGACCGGAGAAGATGGCTGAAGGTGGGTGGAAGGATTGTTTTCCCGTGGCCCGTGGAGGCCCTGTAAGCTCCTGTCGTCCGCATTCCTGACCTAATCACTTCCCTGACACTTTTTTTTTCCGGTCATGGGGCCTGAACTCTGGGCCTGGGCGCTGTCCCTCAGCTCTTCAGCTCAAGGCGAGCGCTCTACGACTTGAGCCACAGCACCACTTCCGGCTTTTTTCTTTTTGCTTATGTGGTGCTGAGGAATCGAACCCAGGGCCTCATGCATGCAAGGCAAGCGCTGTACCCCTGAGCCCCCTTCCCAGCCCCTCATGGGGTGTTTTCTTTACACAGAGTCCCCTGGTTGCTTCAGAAACTCCCCCTGCCTCCCCTTCCACGGGGGGGGGGGGGGACAGGACGAGGGGCAATGGCTTCCTGTGAGGGGCTGGCAGCAGGGGTCCAGGCAGCGCTCCAGTCTCTAGAACAAGGATCCCCTGTGTAACT